GTAAACAACTTCTAGAGAATCCAAAAATTGTCGTTTCAAACATTTCAAAAAAGTTGAATTTTTTGAGTTTCTAATAACACTTGCGAATGTTTTTGCGTATAAATTTGTTTTTGCAATAATGAAATAAGATTCATCTAGAACATCCTATTAAATTTAATGGTACAAAATTTCTCAAAACAATTTGTCATCTGACATGTGAGCCACCATCCATTGTTTCATTTCAAATTACGTTTTTACACAATCTTCTAAATTAAAAATGTAAAGTTTTTAGACTGTTTTGACATATTTTCTCGCCTTTCCAACAATCTCTGAATTAGCACAAATATTTCAAGTCTAAATGTGGCCAAATCGGTTCAGCTGTTTTTGAGTTTAAGCATTTCTATTATTAATATATATTATATATATATATATATATATATGCATATATTATATATATATATATATATATATATATATATGCATATATAAGGTATTTTTTGAAATGTTAATTTGCCAAATACTCTAAATAAAAAGCAAAAAAAATATCAACTATTTATCATGTATGTTTTGACACTGTACGTTCAGTTTAACAAATTCTAAAACAAATATTTTAAATTTTTTTTCAAAAATTGTTAAGCATGCTGAATGAAGACACACACACAGTGCCGAAACGTGCATGATGAATATTTAATTATTTATTGCTTTTTATTTGGAGTGTTTTGACTGTATTAAACAAAATACTTTGTCAAAAATGCATTAGTCCAGATAATAATAGAAAGAAAAACTAAATTATGTTTCTAAAAATAATTTAAGTAAAATTCCATACGTTTCGACTCCTAATTTGAATGTTTTTTCAGTGTACACTAAAATCACATAAAACACTAAAATCAGGGAAAATAATTTTCCTACAGCAATCATATTAGTGAAAAGAATTAAGAATATTTAATTCTGAAAAAAAAAATAGATGAAGCTAATAATTTCAAGGAAAAGTGACTCTTTTTTTGTGTTCTGTATCTCAATAATTTGTGTTTTGTTCACTGAAGAAGAGTCAAATTGGGATCCGAAACGTATGGAAATATAGTTATCTATATACTATTACAGTCTTTGGAACCATAAATTAGTTTATCTGGATGGATACCCGTTTAAGAAATATATTGTTTAATCAATAAATTTATATATAAATTTGAAATGATTAACTTTCTATTCAAAGATTGAAAGAAACATTTTTCATCAATTATACGTTTCGATTCTTGATGTGTATCATGATTCATCAAAACTAAAATACATTTATACAATTAATACAAACATGTAATTAAAAATTAATGATGAAATACATAATGATAAGAAATATACATACCAAACCAGGACAAAAATAAAAACTTAAGACTAAAATTAGTTAAAAAAAATATAAATAAAAAATAGTTTGTTGAAACTATTTTTAGTATTTAAAGTCCTGGTTTGGTAAGTATATTTTTCCTCATTATACATTTCAACATTAATTTTTGTATAAATGTTTTTTTCATAAGCACAATTTTTTATATAATTTGCAAGTAAAACGATTTATAGTAACTATTCGAAATTTGGTATTAGATATTTTCTAAGGCTTATAAAATCAAATAACGGAATTTTAGAAAATTTATAAATAAATTTGAATTACTTGAAAGGCAAATTCTCGATAAATAATTATTTTTAACTATATTGAGAACGTATTATGTAACTATAATGCTACATATGTGTGTGATGTTAATAATTTTGTTTTTATTTCTGTTTTGTTATAATCTTAAGTACATAGTAATATATTTTATATATTCATATAAATACATATACATATATATATATATATATATATATATATATATATATATATATATATATATATAATGGTTTGTCATAGTCAGGGCCGAGGGACTTTGTATTTATTGATGCCTAAACAAAAAATTCAAGTAATATGTATTAAACCATATAATATATATTGTTTCTAACATTTTTGATTCCAAGTCTTTGTGATGGTTGTACATTAGGGTGGTCCTCAATATGGATGTATTCGAATTTCCTTGCTCCCAGGGGCTTAAATATTTTCAAATTGTTACAAAAAATACTCTGAAAGTTTTAATTCTTAATATTAATTTTAACATAGTCCGCACTCCAACCAAAGTTGGGAAAAATTTCATTTCAGCGACAAGTGAATCAAAAATTTAAGAATAACATTATATTTGCTTGTTTTGATCATAAAATAAAAAAATACAACACAAATTTGATAGATTTCATAAAATAAGTATTTACATAAGAAGAAGTACTGAGAAATTTTGTTTAAAGTGCGCACTATCTAAAAGTTAATATTAAGAGCTAAAACTTTCAGAGAATGGTTTTTTATCAATTTGGAAGCATTTGAGTCCTTGGGAGCAAGGAAATTGAAAAATATCCATTTTAAGAGCAACCGTATGTACATGTGACATACATGTACATGTAAATATTACTTTGTTTAGGCTTCACATAAAAGCATAATTTGTACTCTGGCTGTAGCAAATTTTTTGCAATACTAGATTTATTATAGAATAGTAGTAATAATTTTATATTTTTAGAAAATATAATTTTATTTTATTTTATGTGCATTTAGGCGGCCTGTGCCTAAATAGACAACACAGTTAAACTGTGTTTTGAATGCGAGAAACACAAATACAATAAACCTATTTTATTTCTAATGTGATAAAAGAAGATACAGAATTTCTTTGGTAGTAAAAGAATTTTTTGAAATTTAAGTGGTCAATTTTCGGATAAAATAGAAATGTTATGGGAACCTTATGTTACGAGTCTATCTTCTTAAAGAGCTTTGTATTTGCTTTGCATAGAGTATTAACTACCAATTCATACGAAGATAGACCCATAACATAGTGTTACCATTACATTTCTGTTTCATCAAAAAATTGGTCCATTATCCATCTTTCATTTTCATTAGACTTGTAAACTCTTAAGTTTTGAAACATGGCAACATCATAGGTAAGATAATAAAATTATAAACACTCCGTTGATTGAGTATAAATTTAACTTAATTACTATTAATATAATTATCGAAATAAGTATAATTATGCATGTACATAATGTTGTAAATAAATGTTTGATTATTATTGCCCATTAAATATAAAAACTAAAGTATTATAATTGATTCATTTTAACGCATACAATATATATATTTATATTTAACCTTTAAGATTATTAAAAGTGAACAAATGTGGTGTGAAATTCTGTTGTAAAATCCTATTATAACTAGAATATAAACATAGTTAATCTTAAGAGTTATTTTATTTAATACACATTTTTAATTTAACATTCATTATATGATTAATACATATTTAAGATAAAAATATTCATACATTTTAGAGGGTAGGTTCTAGGTTGTTACATGCAAGGAACAGCAGCTCTCTCATTATTCTATGATAGCAGTAGAGAGGAATACCAGTGACCTGACTATTGAAGACCTCAATACATAGAAAGGGTCAACTGCCAGGTATAAATTTATATTTACGATAAAAATATTTACAATTTTTGAGGGTAGGTTCTAGGTTATTACATGCAGGGACACGAGCTTTCCAACTATTTTATGATAGTAGTAGAGAGGAAAACCAGTGACCTGACTATTGAAGACCTCAATACGTAGAAAGGGTCAATTGCCAGGTATAAATGTATATTTAAGATAAAAATATTTACAATTTTTGAGGGTAGGTTGTTACATGCAGGTACACTAGCTCTCCTACTATTTTATGATAGTAGTAGAGAGGAATACCAGCCACCCGACTATTGAAGACCTCAGTACGTGCAAAGGGTCAACTGTCAAGTATAAAATGGACCTTGGTACCTTACTGGAACTCTTTTTTCAATTAATCATCAAGAAGGCAACATCTCTGGCAGAACTATGATGAATGTAACTAAAATAAATACTGGTAATATTGACAATTAAAATAAGTGCAATGCATATTATATTCAGATAGTATTAGGTATACTGTAAATATGTTCATAATTATTTATGATCTCTTGACAGGTGAAGTTTGTTTGTTTTTGACTAGTGGTGCATGGCATCGTGCTTTAAGGCAAATTGCTGAAACTTTCCGTACCAGAATTACATACTCGAGGGTATGTATCAGCAATGATCAATGATCAATAACAATTGTTTTAAATATTTTCAAATAGATTATTATAAATACTATATATGTTATTGCTCATATTATATAGCTTATATTATCGCAAAAAAAACTTGAGAATGTTTACATTAATATGCCGACTGAGGCATCTATCTGTGGATACATTTTTTTATTTATTTTTTTAATTTTTTATTGAAAATATAAATTTTAAATTTCTCAGACAGAACAAAATGTCTGGTATGAGAGATCGTACAAAACATCTATACAATAGTATTATTTTATACATGTCATTATTCAGGTCATTATAAACATTTTATATCATTTATTTTTACATTCATACTTTGGTCTAATTTATTTATCTATCTTTATAATATTCTTTTAATTTCATTTCATTCTTCACAATTAGAATAATGCATATGAAATATATGAAGTTTTAAAATGTAAGTTTAAAATTTATATTTAAAGTATAAAACTTTGTATATTATTGAAAATTTTGAAACAAAAATTCTGAAAATTTTGATATTTGTTTGAGCGAATTTTAAAATTTGAAAATCTTGGTACAGAAATACTTGAAATTAGTGCTCATTTTCAAAAACTGCATCAAATATCTGATCATTTGATGTGCATACGTCTAATGTTCATTTTTGACCACCAAATATGTATTTTTCCTCTGTATTTCCAAAACCACTAGACCTGTCTTTCCAAAAATATAATCAATTTATCATTTCGTCAATACAAAATGTTTCAGCAAGAACTCGATTTATATTTTCTACACTCTTTGCTCCGTATCTCCGTAACGGCTGGACCTGTCTTTGCCAAAAACTAATCAGCACATCTCTTTATCAATAGGAATCGAATGTTTTCTGAATCATTCAAATCGGTTGATTCGTGCGCCAGAAATCGTGGACGAAAAATGCACAACTCCCAAATTTGTATCGAGGTTTAGAAATAAACAAGAATGGAATTTGTGAGATGCATATAAAAATTCAAGGCAAACTTTTTTTTTTGGCTTGTATATAGGTAAGTGATTTTTTTGTAAGTTTTTTATATATTGCTTGTATATTTAACTTCATAAGTAACTTTTTATAAACAACTAAAATTACTCGTTTGATATTTTTGCGACTTGTCTGACAATGGGGCACTTCATAATGAAATTTCAATGTTTTATTAAATAATAATTTAAATTAAATAATTAAAATGTATTTTATTATTTTAATATTTTTTTCGTGTTACATTACGAATTATTAAGACTTAATTCAACATTTGTCAATACAATATTATTTTAATTTTATTCAACTCGTTATATTACTACTCACTCATACAATTTATATAGTTGTCATTGATATTTTTAGGTTGAGACTATCAATATCTGAAAGTATTGCAAATTGGTTCCAGATGCATATTTATCAAGTCATTAAGTTTTCGAATATAGGACAACTGTTCCAGGATTATCACCTGCTTGCCATCGAGCCATTGTAATGTTTCAAGGTAAGATGATAAGATTTTTGTTAATTGTGTCACCTATAAAATACATTTATATAAAGAATTATTGATGCAAATTTGATGCAATTAGTTAATCTGATTATTTGGATTGTAGTGATGCGCCGACTCGATTCTTTTTTATTCTAATTAGGGAAAGCAATACTGGTATACCGATATACCGGTTCTGCCGCATAACAGAAAAATATTATGGCAAGCCATGTTATGAAGAACTTTCCATACTAAATATTGACGAAAGCCATATGCAGTCAGACCGTCAGACGTATTTCTCAGGTTATCAGATAGAAAACATAACCTAGAAACCGCACAAATATCAAAAATATCGATGTTAGATAATAGTAAAATGACCATATCTTTTCGAGTCAAAACCGGGACGGTATTATTAAATTCTGCTAATTCGGGACAGGGGGAAGAGGATGGATGCTAAAAAAAATTAATATGATTGTAAAATAACAAATACTAATTAAGAATTTAATAGAAATCCGCCTTCTTTAAATGAGTAATTTTTTAAAATCAGAATTACTAAGAACTTTATTATTCGATTATATGTTATATTTCATTTGATATTTTCGGATTTATTTGCTTTTTTTATCTTGCAAACTTATAAAATCTTGTTCAATTTATTTCATAATTATTTAAAAATAATTCACGTTTATTTGCATTATTCCAGGCAGTCAAGACGTTCATTTTCATAATTTTTGTTAATATTCGTAAAATTGAAAATGAAAGTTCAGAATTATGAATGTGAGAGGCTATTTTAATCCACCTTTTCCATATAAGCTTAATAGTTGTACATAACATTTTCAGATATTTCAATGGTAGTTGATAATTTTATTATCAAGTAAGAGCGAAGAATCAATTTAGACTTATACTTTTCAAAAACCCGGGACAATCCGGGATAAAGTTCTAAATCCGGGACAAATATCACTTGTAGAAAAATCCGGGACACAAGGTGGAAATCCGGGACTGCATTTTATGTCCAAAACGCCAGAATGCACAGCAAATACATGACATTTTGACAGTATGATTCAGTAGCATAATGTACGGAAGGTAGAGCGTAACATGGCCTTGCTACAACATTCGTCTCTTATGCGACCTTAATCGGTCCTTAAGTAATAATATTAATAATTAATGTACGAAATCGCTTCCAGCCTTCTGTCTTATAATCATCTGATTCCAATCAGTTTGTCAATTATTGATTCGACTTGGCACATTACTAGTAAATTGTATTAAATTCATATAATAATTTAACAAGTAAAAGTAATTATTTACCGGATCTGCACTGTCGTATTGGGCATTAACCAAAGGTATGAGACTTTCAATATCATCGTTCATTTCTCGAAAATCATTTTCAATCATTAGTGGAATTCCATATCTAAAATAAACACAATCATTTCTTATATATAAAAATGGAGCTCGATAAAATGATCCGCTAAGACTCGAAAACGGCTAAACCGATTTGGCCAGTCTTAGTCTTGAACAATTCGTGCTAATCAGTAGGTTGTCGGAAAGGGGAGATATTATTTCAAAATAGCGTACAAACTTTACATTTTTAGTTTGAAAATTTTTGTAGAAGCGTAATTTGAATAAAACAATGGACGGTGGCTAATACGTCAAATGTCAAACGTTTTTGACATATGATATTCAATTACGTTTAATAGGATGTTTTACGTTAATATTATTTAATTATGATTAAATTGTAGTAAGTAGTTTTGTTTGTAGTTTTATTTATACACAAAAACATTATTAAATGGGCCGTTAATGTTACTAGAAACTGAAAATATCAACTTTTTTGAAAAGTTAATATGAATATGCATTTTTTGGCGTTGTAGCACTCTTTTTTTGCAAATCATATTTTTCTCAAACACTGAAAGATCTCATTTGTATAATTATATACTCATTGGTATTTATAAAACATTTTCTAGGTTATATTATTTTTTATTTATGTTATTTAAATTCAGAACCTAAGTTTGGTATCGATCAAAGGGACATTTTGTCGAATAACATTTTTCCAGTTATAATTTACCAGAATTTGTCGAAGAATAAATAGTAATATATGAAGGTCCGGGATTAACAAGGCCCACCACCGATGTGTCAAAAATCAGTAAAATTAAGCGTAGTTCAACAACAATATTTGAAAGTAGAGGGAAAATGATGTACAAACAGCTATAACCTTGATTCTTATGACTTTGCTACCGGGAGATAAACGGTAATTTTTGAAAATCCATAATCAAAGTATTTTCTTTCGTTGGTAGTTTTTTAGCTTTAGTTAAAAATTATTTTGTAAAATACGTTCTAATTAGAATAAGACATTGAAGACTTAGATTGGATTATACCATGTTTTCTATAGAAAGTGTATAAAACTTGCAGTTTGATTGTATTGACAAAATATAGACAAACAAATGGGGTTTATTGTTTTTATAATAGCTTATTTTATATAGTATTCAAACAACACATCCTTATACACTAAAAGTATTAATTTTTTTGATTCTCTAGAAATGGTTTAAAATATACTTTGCTTAGCAAAACAAGGTTTGCCGGGTCAGCTAGTATGATATTATAAATATGATTTATAAAATATTATAAATCTTTTTCATATTATAATTCTTACTAACATGTGCATTCGTTCACAATCAGGAGGCGAATATATGAACCGAACTTCTGTTTTGTTTTCAATAATTGTAAGTTTTGAATCGACTTCGTTTGCAATGATATTGATCCAATCCAAATTTTCATCAAACTGTGTTTGGAAGATCTTTTGTTCATGCAGCATTAGATCTAGCTCAACCATCTGAGAAATTGTTGAATTATTGATAAGAACAATTGTTAGAAACTTTTGATTTGGTTTGATAATTACGCATTGCTCGCTCTCTTTAACGATGAATTCTCGACAATTGACTTCTTGAACTTGGTTGAAAAATACCATCAACATTTCCTCTGTGAATCTATAATATTGTGTCATGCATTCGTCCAATCGCTCGAAACTCCAGTTTTCAAAATCAGGAATTGTGGAATGTGGTCTAATTGAAAGAACTAGTTGAAAGTGGCATAATAATTGACTTAATCAACCGAAATTGAGATTCAGATATTTAGATAAAATTTTCTACGGTTTATTTCGAAAATCAAGTTTTTGCTTCCAATTAAATCTAAACATTGTGATTTCCAATTGATATCTCTCAAACACATTTAAATTAACTGTAATTATATTAACTGTAGTGCACAGACACGTGCGTATAAAAATTTAAGCCTATTATAATTAATTTATATTTTTTACCAATTTTTAACTTCCGGTAGGGTAAGTTATTGTAATCGTTCAAAAATCGAAATAGAAATTTCTGCTTCGCGTTTCAAAGGTTTTTGAACATTTTGGCATATCTTAGAAAAATGAATGTGTGTGTGTGTGTGTTCGGATACAAATTTTCGTCAACGATTTCGGGAGCACAAATTAATCGTTTTCAGTTATTCAAAAAACATTCGATTCCTATTGATAAGGAGATATGCTGATTAGTTTGTGACAAAGGCAGGTCTAGCCGTTTCGGAGATACGGAGCAAAGTGTGAAAAAAATCGGAGAACGGAGCGTTCGATTTCAATGATTCAAAAAACATTTTACTTGTATTGTCAAAATGAAGAACTGATTAAATTTTTGGAAATGCAGGTTTAGCGGTTTCGGAGTTCGAATAAAAAAAAGTGAAAAAGAAATGTCATTTGGTGCACAAAATGAACATTAGACATATGCACATCAAATTATAAGATATTTTATGGAGATTTTAATCAGGTGTATCAATTTTGTTTACATTTCTATGGATCCCGTTGTTTATCCGTAAGACAGCGACGCGGCGCTTACGCGCTTCGATATTTTGTCTCTACGCAGCCAATGCAGCGTCATTGCTTTGAAAATTTCCAAAATATTTCAAATTGAAGAAAACACATTTTTTTCAAGAGTCATTTGTGTTCAAAAATTTCAAAATTCTCAAAAAACACAATTTTAAAGTTATTATTATTATTATTTTGAATAAATTTTTGGAACGGTTCTCAATTCACAAATTCATAAACTTGGTATTGCAAGGTTTTTGCAAAATTTTTCACAAAAAGCACTTATTATTCAAACAATTCTAAAGAAATGACCTGGCCGATTGTTTCGCAAACCTAATTGCAGATCCTTATCTTTTTTCATATAAGAAATTTTGACTAACATATTTTTTTCAAACTTTGATGAATTTTTAAAATTAAACGACTTGTCATAGGGCCATAATATTTTAGTATGTTTTTAGAACCTTGATATCTTAATTCTCATTGATTAAGAATATTATTTCTACATTTCGAAAAATTAATTCAATAGAATGAAAAGGTATATTACCACTTTCAACCACCTGTTTTATACAGTCATAGCCTCAAAATATTCTAAATAATGTTTTTTTTTTTTTTAAAAGTTTCAATTGAAATAGCAAATGGGCAAAACTATTTTATACTCAAAAAAAGAATATACACAAAAATCTGCCCTTCTGTTAAAATCAAAAATTCAGTCACTAAATAAATATTTCTCAGTATAAAAATTTACTCACAAAATAAATTCATCGTAAGGGATTAAATAGGTTTTAATATTTCCGCAAACTTTAGGTACTTGCGTGCATTGACATGAATTTCGATTAAAATCATAAATCTGATCATAAATCCTTATAATTTTTGACACAGTTTCTCCTTTTTTTTCTTTGCTATTTTCCATTTTTATGAAATTTTGAATTGTCAAGTCATAAATTATTTTTGTTTTTTTTGTTCATGTAGCAAACTTTGGTATGAGTAATGGAAACACATTGGAGTTAATTCTTTTCATACGAATTTTTATTGTATGTACTAGATGACCCGACAGACGTTGTTCTGTACCCATGTCTAAAATTTTTTAATATAATATACTTATATTTACCGTTTACCTAAAAATAATAATTATTGTTTTTTAAATTACTCTTCACGCCAAAATGCATATACATTT